CGGCGTGGTTGCCCACCGTCTGGTAGTACTTGCTGGAGAGGTCGTAGAAGCGGCTGTGCACCGAGGTCACCCCGGGCAGGGTGTTCAGCAGCTCCTCCACCTCCTCGATGGTCTCCTGGGCAGGGGGAAGAACCTGCCTTCGTAAAGGGCGAGGAGCACCCGGGTGCAGCGCCGGGACCCCGGCAGGGAGGGTCACGGCATTCCAGGGTGCTGTCTGGGGCAGGAGGGACACCCTGCCGGTGCCAGCACAGCCAAAGCCACCACCACGGGATGATTTATGCATGTATTTATATGCTTGTTTAAAAATAAAGCAGCAGTCTCCCTTCACACAGCAGCGAGGGGGGGGGAAAAAACCCCACCCCCTAACCAGCTATAATTATATATATATACTAAGGGCTTTAAAATGAAAGAAAAAGGTTTGGGTGGGATTTTGGGGTTAATCCTTCCCTGTGAGGGTGGTGAGGACCTGGCACAGGTTGCCCAGAGAAGCTGTGGCTGCCTCACTGCTCAAGGAGAGGTTGGATGGGGGTTGGAGCAACCTGGGAGAGAGGAAGGTGTCCCTGCCCATGGAACTGGATGGTCTTCAAGATCCCTTCCAACACAAACCATTCCAGCATTCCATGGTACACACGCCCAAAGCCATCACCCTGCGCTTGCTCTAGGAGATCTAAAGCTGCCCTGCTTGAAAAACCTCATTTTGGGTTCAAAAGATGGTTCCAAAACAAGTCAAGGACGACAAACCCCACGTGCTTCGCTCAGGCAGCAACGCTCCAGGTCGCCAGGAGCAGCTCCCACATCCTGGGGAGGCTCACGAGACCCTCTGAGCTGGGAGCTGGGACAATCAAGGAAAGCCACAGCACCCCAAAACCTCCCAGCCCGGGCCACCCCTCACCTTGGTGACCTGCAGGTCCCCGATGTTGAGCTTGAGGGCCCCGATGGCTGTTTTGCACAGGATCACGGCCTCGTCGCTGCTCTTCACCTGCAGGGACACAGGGGGACCTGCTGGGAGTGTCACCTGCAGCCAGGTGGCTGGGACAGGGCTGGGTGCACGTCACTGATCACATTCCTGCAGTAAAATCCCTGGATTCTGCAGCACAGGTGTCACACACACACAGACCGGAGCCTCCTCACCCGCCGGTGAACTGCCACAGGGAGCAGCTTCAGACCTACCTTTTCCCGAGTCTTTTCCAGGAAAGTCAGGGCCACGTTGGGATCTGGAGTAGAGAAAAAACAGGTTTTAAAAAGCAGCAGTGCCAGGAGGTCCCGTGGAGCTGAACTTCACCTAAAAATACGTCGTTCACTGGATTCCTGAAGGCTGGAATGTGTGTTTTCCACAGCGTGCCCTCAGCCTGCAGCAGGTGCTGCCAGGTAGGCCGGGCTTTTCCTCACCAACCACCTCTCCAGGGAAGCTGTGGACTTCCTACTCCAGGAGGCAGCAGCAATCTAAGCTTTCCAAGCCAGCGCTTTCCCTTCCGAAGGCACCAGGGCAGCAGCTCCCCGTCCGAGATTCAGCTGTGCCTGGCCACATTCCACAGGGATCGGGGGCTAGGAGCAGCTCGGGGAGAGGGGGAGGACACGCACCTGTCATCTGCCGGACCACGTGCAGGATGATCTCCACCAGGGACAGGGGGTTCACCCTGCAAAGAGCAGCTCGGGGTCAGCACAGGCCCCCCAGGTGACCCCCCAAGCCCCCCCCCAGGTGACCCCCAGGTGACTCACCTGTGCTCAAACTCGCTGATGAAGTTCTCGTAGAGCTGTGGGGACAAGGAAAGGGACACTCAGGGCAAAGGAAACCCCAGTTCAGAGCTTCTCACTCTTATTTCCTCTCCATTCCAGCTCGTTTGAACATCCCTGGAAGTGCCCAAGGCCAGGCTGGACAGGGTTTGGAGGGACCTTGGGTAGTGGAAGGTGTCCCTTCCAGGGACAGTGGAGCATGATGATCCTTAAGGTCCCTTCAAACCCAAACCATTCCACGATTTTTCCAACAAACTGGGCACCCGTACAGAAATTCCAGCACTGTGAAGAATCCAGGAGCCCAGAAC